ATAGCTTCATCCCATTCCCTCTGCCTGTCCAGTGAAACACTAACAGGATCATCTACAAGTACATATGTACATCATAACACATGTACATGTACAATGTACTATTTATTGAGTGACATTTTTTGGCAAGGGATACATGTACATGTACATGCAATAAAAATACATAAATCTTAAGCCAAAACAACTGCACAAGCAATACAAGTAAATTCAAACTAGTATAGCTACACAATACACAACAGATATACACTGTACGTACATGTACATGGACAACACGTGATGACATGGCTTACTTTCAACATCAAGATACTTGAGGTTGAATGGAGCAGCACTGTGCAGTCCACACTGCTTTCTTATTTCATTGCTAACGTCAGTGACTGCCAGGTTAGGAACCAAAGAGAACTTAATATCTTTTCTGTAGAGAGAGAGAGAGAGAGAGAGAGAAGAACAGAAATGAGAGAGAGAAAGAAAGATAGATAGAAAGAGAAAAAAGAGAGAGAGAGAGAGAGGAGATAGAGTGTTTAAAGGTAAAATAAATGAAATATCAAATGAAGTCATTACACATGTTAAGACAATGACTGAACACAACATAATCACTAACATCAGAGTGTGCCCATTGTGTACAGGTAAAGCACACAACATGCAGCAGTGTATGAGAAGCATATGATAACCTCATGCTTATGGAATGCCAAAATAATGCAAGTATTGAGTCTCTACTGTAAATGGACATAATTATTTGGAATAAAATTTCAAATACTTGTCACACTCGCATATAAATTATTAATACAAGCGTCTAATTTATACTGATACTGTTGTATTGGCTGTATCAAGAGCTATAGTACCTAATACATACATGCTTTAATAAATAACATTTAAATAATTATTATTACCAAGAAGGGGCAATAAAGGTTTCATCATGTACATGTACTGTGATTGTAATAGGTTTACATGTACGGTATAATAGAGTATAATGGGGCAGCAGTAGTGAGGAGGAGGTCCGGTTCTTGTGAATAAGAAACATAGAGGTGACTAAGACAAAACAAGGTCACTTACCCTCTGAAACTCAGTCTGACTGGAATTATGTCATCCCCCATTTTGGATAGCCTGAAATGAGAACGGGAGGAATTGTAAAAGTATATTGCGTGTGGAAGGGTCGTTACAGTTGACTTACCGAGAAAGAAAAGCTGAAAAAGGAGGCAGAAAACTACAAGGAAAAGCAGCGAACCTCCCACAACCAAAACTATTTCATTAACAGTAGGCGGGGAGAAAATTAATTGATTAAGACTATGAATAATTCATTTAAAAATTAATTTCAAATTGGAACCAGATGACCACAGACATACCTGACTGCATATTACAAATTATGCATGTCTTCTTTTCAATAGGAGACAGCATGTGTGTGGGATGTCCTAACTCCTGAAAGCTTCTTTGTCATAATCAACAAAGCTGCAGTGTAGATTTTGCTATTCAATAGCTACTTTGCTTAGTTTGCTGCTAGCAATACCAGCTGACTGTGTATCATCAATAATAATAGTATAATAGTAAAATGGATGGATTTCACTCTGGCTGGTTCTTTGAGAATGAAGATGGGATGACAGTGGCAATAGAAGTAGATGAAATACTATGCGAAGAGAAAACCAAATATAATGACATTAAAATCTTCAAAAGGTATAGGTACAATGATTTAGTGTATCTATATTAATAATGATTATAGCACTAAATTTGGTAATGTATTGGTCCTGGATGGTGTCATACAGTGCACTGATAGAGATGAATTTGCATATCATGAAATGATGGCTCACTTACCATTGTTCTCTCATCCAAATCCAAAAAAAGTTAGCAAGTTGAAGATATGATGCTTATAGTGCCAGCATTTGCTGTTTCATGCAGGTCCTTATAATAGGAGGTGGAGATGGTGGTGTTTTGAAGGAGGTTAACAAGCACTCAAGTATAGAGGAGATTCATGTATGCATCAATGATGAGGTATGGTAGGTCACGATATATGCTAGATCAGTGCTAGATTTTTGCATGTTAAATGAGTCAACTCATTATAATGATTATGCTATTTCTTTTCGTGTATGTCTTATTTTGTAGCGTTTAATTGAACTTGCAAAGCAATACTTGCCAAAACTTTCTGTGGGCTATAAGTCATCGAAAGTTGCTGTTAATATTGAAGATAATGTGGAGCAATTTCTTGAGAAAAATACGCAAAGTTATGATGTTGTCATAGTTGATAGCATAGGAGGTAAGATATGACTGTTATTATGCAATATTATCAAAACTGCAGGTCATAATAATGAGATCTTGAAGAAACCTTTTTATGAAAAGTTAAACAAATCATTGAAGAACAATAATGGGATTGTATGTGCATTTGGTAAGAACTTGTGATACTATACATAAAAATTACTTTCCATACAATAGCTGGTTGTGTATGGACTGATGCCGGGCATATAAAAGAGTTAAAAAACACATTTCACTCAATATTTCCTTCTGTTTGCTATGCATTTGGTCTAGTAGTATCTTGCTTTGTTGGAGGTCAGGTTGGATTCTTGTTGGGCAGCAAAGAAAAGGCATGAATGTCAATACTTTTATCCTTATAAATTAATATCGTTACATAATAGGAGACAAACTTTGAAGAGCCACCTCGAGTAATAAAGGAAGAAGATGTAAAAGAGATGAATTTGAAGTTTTATAATAAGGAAACTCATGAGGCATGTTTTGTCTTGCCTCAATTCATTAAAGAAGAGCTTCAAAACTAATTATTATTTCTTTATTGTACCACTATCTGAATTCTTTTGAATTGTTGAGTCTAAATAGTTACAATGACCTTTTGTATAGTAGAATTAATTATATAAGCATACTCTAAACTCTATCTTGTTCATCAAGGATGGAAGGATTCATCGATGGACATTATTTCGAAAAATGGGATGGAATGGTCATTGGCCTTCAAGTTAAAGAAATATTAGTAGAGGAAAAGGAAACAGAATATCAGACAGTCAGTGTTTTTGAGAGGTATAGTAATAATGTTACATGTAACTAATCTATAGTGTTACTGTCCTATCATATAGCAAGACATTTGGTAATGTACTTGTGATTGATGAAGTGATCCAATGCACTGAAAGGGATGAGTTTCCCTATCATGAAATGATGGCACATTTACCTTTATTCTCTCATCCTAACCCAGAAAAGGTATAAACTAATACATTTACATACACAAACAGTTAATGAATACACTAGGTACTGATTATTGGTGGAGGAGATGGTGGAACAATTCGTGAGTTGGCTAAGCATTCACTTGTTAAGGAGATCCATCAGTGTGAATTAGACAAAGTATACTACAGCCACACAACTATGATTATTATGTGTCATTTAAAATATACAGTTTGTCATACAAGTATCAAAGAAGTACCTGCCTAAGCTAGCAGTTGGTTACTCTTCTCCAAAGTTAGTAACCCATTTAGAGGATGGGATGACTTTTATAGATCGCTATGTAGAGGAATTTGACATCATCATTACTGACTGTTCAGACTATGATTCAGGTAAAATTATAAATGGGTCAAATTCATTCAATTTTTTTACAGAGACTTGCACAAAACTTTACGAAGAAGCTTATTACAAAAAAATAAAGAAAGCTTTGAAACCAGACGGAGTCATATGTTCTTTAGGTTTACATACACACATACATAACTGGATTGTAATATCATATTCCACTTTTAGCTGATTGCATGCTTACTGATGCTGAGTTTATGAAGAGATTCACTCAAACAATTCGAAAACAGTTCCCAGTGGTTCGATATGCCTTTGGGGTGTACACCCCTGTATACATTGGTGGCCAATGCGGCTTCCTAGTAGCCAGTAAAGATAAAGTAAAAACAAACTCATTAACAAAATAATATTTACCTTATTTGTCATTTAGAATAAAGTATTAGAAGATCCAGTACGTCAGTTAACTGATGAAGATGTTAAAGATATGAATCTACGTTATTATAATACAGCAACACACAAAGCTTGCTTTGCACTCCCTCAATATGCCAAAGAAGCACTCAGGGAATATTATAACTAAATTCTATAATAATTTACAAGACTGTAATTTTGGTAAACATAGGTAATTTAGGAAAGACCTATTAATGTAGCAATTACTATCCAATATCACAAATATTTCTCTATCATTCAGCAAGTAATTAATAAATTTAAACAAGAAAGCAGTGCCAGCTCAAAAATAGAATTCACACACACAACAACAGTTTTACCCTTTCTTCATGCTACATAGGGTTTCCTACAGGATTTTGGCATACCAGGTAGTGCTCATGCAGGTTCTTGCTGGTCGATTTTAAAGTTGCTCAAAACTTGACAAAATAACTATACAGGGTGTTTTTTCAAAAAAAGGAGGAATTTTTAGTGCTTTGCATGATTTTGTTATACCAAACAACCATGCACTAATTTGACATTATAGGTACAATAAATTAGCTGCTAACATTAATAGGTTTACAATGCACTATGTAGTCTAGTGCTATGTTGACAAGGTGATGTCACTATGGCAAATAGGGTTGGGTTTATAACTAGTTGCATCCTATAGAAGCTACCATTAATATTTCTAAAATATAATTGTATCTAAAGCTATGAACAACAGTATTGAACTTTCAGAGTCATTTGGTGCCATTCATTCAGCTTTAAACATCTTGATCTTTGCAGTAATTTTGGTCCCTCTGTTCATAATAACTAGTATATTTATAGTGGCACTGCTGACTGCTAAAGATGTCAACTGGAAGATGAAAGTGATTCTCATCAACATCCTAGTCCCAGATATAATCTATTTTCTAACTGGAATTCTCTTTCACTTGGGCTATCCTGTACGTGTTTATTTAATTGAAGGAAATGATACTGATGCTCTTGATGTATCTTGCCTAATATCACTTGCACTATACAGTACAGCTTTCCTTGGAAATGCATTTGGAGGAGCACTCTTTTCTGTGTCAGTATACATTTTCACTAAGTATGGTGTAAAAAAGTTGAAGTGGATTGGTATTGTAAGTTACATTGCTACTACCTGGGCCATTAACATTATGTATCGTATTGTTTTATACATTATAAATTTAAACAATATAGAAATAACATCCAGGGGTGGTTTTTGTATATGGCAGTTAAGTCAAGTTATTATTGCTGTTTACATTATTGATGCTCTACTTGTTGTACTCAGTATCACTTTTGTGGTGATATTTAGCACTTGCAACTTTTTCTTCATTAGAAATAATCAAATTGCAACTGAAAACTCAGGTGGGCCTAACCCTCTGAAGAAAGCTATGACAAAAGTCATGGTAGTTTATGGTGTTCGTGAAATTTGTACGATCATTCAAATTGTTATAAATTCTTCAGTTTTTGGAGAAAATTTTAATGGCATTGTAACGCCAATCATCATTCAATATGTTTTACAAATTTCTCTAAGTTTAATATTGCTACTTGTTCCTATATCAATAGCAATCTTTATGAAGCCAGTCAATGATCGCCTGAAACAAATCTTAAAGCAATCACATCAACTATACTCATACTGTAAAGTTTGCAAAAGAGATGAAGAATAAAACATGAAACAGTAAATTCTTCAGAAAATACTATCTATAGCCTAAACTATTAAGTGACCTAATTCTATGAACAAAAAGTTTAATTTTACTGTTATTTTTTAGATAACCATTTTGTTTTTGTTTACGTGATTTGACCAATACCACTTCCTGACCAAAGATGACTTTACAGCAATTAATACTATAGAGCCTCAATTTGCAAACAAGTTGAGTTATTTCGTTTATAAAAATTAAGTTAAGCTCTTTTAAAAAGGCACACTAGACCATGTTGCCAAACCTCACTAATAATAAATTCGTGTTAGGCTATATTTTTGTAAAATACATAAAACACAGTATACCATAGTTAAAAATTCATAATAAAAACCTTTTCTTTATTACTGCAAGTATTATAGTTCAAAGACGTCTATAAAGCCATTCAATGTTTTATATAGTTACCATACAACTGTAAAACAACTAATTTTAGCATAAGTGTAGTGAATAGAATAAAAAAGCTTAATTCAACATTAGTATCTAAGTCACATGCTTCTACTCTGGAATTTATACACAGGAACTGGCATTCACATATCTCAAACCTTTATCTACTACACTTGCAATGCAGTTTGAAGGACAAAAATTAAAAGTGGAATTTTGAGCATTTTGCAATGATTTTATTGTTGATAGCCACTAATTTGACATTGAAGCAAAAATGCTAAATAAAGTAGCTGTTAACATTAATAGATTTTCACATACAATGTTATGCTGACAAGGTGATGTCATTCACTCTGATGGCAAATAGGGTTGGGCTTATAGTTGTATCCTTTGAAAGAGCTACAATCCCTATTCGATCGCTAAATATAATATGAACAACAGTACTGAACCTCAAGCTGGTTTTTATGTCCTTAATTCAGCTTTACATGTCTTGATCTTTGCAGTAATTTTGGTTCCTCAGCTCACAATAACTGGTATGTGTATAGTGGCACTGCTGACTGCTAAAGATGTCAACTGGAAGATGAAAGTGATTCTCATCAATATCCTAGTCCCAGATATAATTTATTTTCTGTCTGGAATTTTCTTAATTTTGGGCTATCCTGTACGTGTTTATTTAATCGAAAGAAATGATACTGATGCACTTGATGTATCCTGCTTCATATACTTTGCATTTTACGGTATAGCTTTTTATACTAATGCATTTGGAGGAATACTCTTTTCTGTGTCAGTATACATTTTCACTAAGTATGGAGTAAAAATGTTAAAGTGGATCAGTATTGTAAGTTACATTGTTACCACCTGGGTCATTAGCATTATGTATTATAGTTTTACATACATTTTAAATTCAAACAGTATAAAAATAACATCCAGGTATGGTTTTTGTCTATTTGAAAATGAGTTAAATCAATCCATTATTGCTGTCTATATTATTGATGCCTTGTTTGTTGTATTCAAAATCACTTCTGTGTAGTGATTTTTGGCACTTGCAACTTTTTCTTTGTAAGAAACAACCAAATTGCAACTGAAAACTCAGATGGATCTAACCCTCTGAAGAAAGCTTTAAAAAAAGTGATGGTAGTTTATGCTGTTTGTGAAATTTGTGCACTCATTCAACTTGCTGCAACTGCTAATGTTTTCATTGAGTTGGATTTTACTGACAATGCATCACTGATCACTCGATCTGTTATATACTATATTTTACTAATCTTACAAAGTTTGATATTGCTACTTGTTCCTATATCAATAGCAATCTTTATGAAACCAGTCAATGATCGCCTGAAACAAATCTTAAAGCAATCACATCATCTACTCATACTGCACAGTCTGCAAAAGAAATGAATAATGATACGAACAACAAATTCTTTAGAAAATACTGTATACAGCCTGAACTGTATTTAGTGACCTGATTCTATAAATAAAAAGTTTAATTCTATTGTTAATACTAGTTTTAAAATAACTATTTTGTTTTTTTGTTTATGTGAATTGAAAAATGTGTGCTAAATATCAACATGCCACTAACTTACACAGTTTACAGTAATTAATACTATAAAACCTCATTTTGCAAACAAGTTGAGCTATTTTGTTTATAAAAATTAAGTTAAGTTCTTAAAAACACACACTAGACTATCTTTTTGCAAACCTAACCTCACATCATTCTTATCTTGTGTAGCACATATGAGCTGATTCAGATAAAAATTAGATTTTTTATGAATTTTTAAAGTTACCCAAAAGCCATGTACATTACTATTGTAGTTCACTTAGCATGCTTTGTGGGAAAACCCTATGCCTACATAATGGCTCAGGTAATAACTAGACTATGTTCACAGGGTGATGTCACTAATATGCATAGGTTGGGCTTATAGTTCCTATATATATAAGGGCTACTGTCACTATTTTATTTTTAACAAAAATATTGGATCTACATCAGCTATGAACAACAGTATTGAACTTTCAGAGTCATTTGGTGCCTTTCATTCAGCTTTACATGTCGTTATCTTTGCAGTAATTTTGGTCCCTCAGCTCACAATAACTGGTATGTCTATAGTGGTACTGCTGACTGCTAAAGATGTCAACTGGAAGATGAAAGTGATTCTCATCAACATTCTAATACCAGATATAATCAATTTTCTATCTGCAATTTTTTTTGCTTTGGGCTATCCTGTACGTGTCTATTTAATCAAAGGAAATGATACTGATGCTCTTGATGTAACTTGCCTGATAGCATTTGTACTCTACGGTATAGCTTTTTATACAAATGGATTTGGAGTAATACTCTTTTCTGTGGCAGTATACATTTTTATTAGGTAATGTGTAAAAAAGTTAAAGTGGATCGGTATTGTAAGTTACATTGCTACAACCTGGGTCATTAGCATTATGTATAATAGTCTTGTACCCACTTTAAATTTTAAAAAATACAAGAATAACATCCAGGCATGGTTTTTGTTTATTTGAGTTAAATCAATTCATTATTGCTGTCTACATTATTGATGCTCTGTTCGCTGTACTCAACATCACTTCTGTAGTGATTTTTGGCACTTGCAACTTCTTCTTTGTAAAAAAACAACAGAATTGCAACTGAAAACTCAGATGGACCTAACCCTCTGAAAAAAGCAATGACAAAAGTCATGGTAGTTTATGCTGTTCGTGAAATTTGTATACTCATTCAAATTGCTGCAAACGCTAGCATTTTCATTGAGCTGGATTTCAATGACAATGCATCAGTAATCGTTGGATATGTTATACAATATATTTTACTAATTTTACACAGTTTGACATTACTACTTGTTCCTATTTCAGTAGCAATCTTTATGAAACCAGTCAATGATCGCCTGAAACAAATTTTCAAATTTCTACACTCACCATGCAAATGAGATGAAGAATAAAGATTGGAGCAGATCCTTCAGAAAATAACTACATCAACATAACTACATAAATATTACATTAATTTTGAAGACAATGTGTATTTAGATATGACCATTTATGCTTATACAGGTAGTGTTAAGTGTTCTGGTACGTTTCTCTGATACTTTTAGTCCAAAAATAATTTTACAGCAGTTAATACTATGCATAAAGCTTCAAATGTAAACAAGTTGAGTCTATAAAGCTCTTTCAACTATTTCCATTTTGCCAAACTCATTATTACTTTATTAGTGGTAATTATAATTAAGGCGTTTGTTAGAAAATAATACAAAAATTTTTACACTGCACAATGAGACTGTCTATATAATAAAAAATAAGATAGTGATCACCAAATCTACTAAATTGCAAAAGTTAAAATAGGACAAGTTAATTAATCATGCATGTAGAGTGCCTGTCATGGCAAAGCCTATTAAGAAAGTGTGTGACATAATCCTAGGCTTAGCAATATAAATATAGCACTACAATTATAGTTCATAGCACAGAAGATGCAACTGCTGTTAGAATTATATGCAGCAGTGATGGGTATAGATTTGTAGAACTACCTATGTAAGAATGCTGTATATAGCCTGAACTATATTTAGTGACTTGATTCTATACATATCTTTTGTTAGTACTAGTTTTTTGTTTTTGTGTATGTGAATCGAAAACTTGTGCTAAGTGCCCACATGCCACAAAGATGACTTAGACACAGTTTACAGTAATTAATACTATAAAGCCTCAATTTGCAAACAAGTTGAACTATTTTGTCTATAAAAATTATATTAAGTTCTTAAAACAAACACTACCTCACATTATTTTTATGTTATGTATAGCAAGTTTAAGCTGATTCTGATCAAAATTAAATTTTTAAAGTTGCCCAAAAGCCATGTACATTTATTATTGTAGCTCACTTAGCATGCTTTGTGGGAAAACCCTGAGGCCTACACAATGGCTCAGATAATAACTAGACTATGTCAACAAGGTGATGTCACTAAATATGCATGGGTTGGGCTTATAGTTCCAATATAAGGACTACTGTCACTATTTTATTTCTAAAAATAATTGTACCTAAATCAGCTATGAACAACAGTACTGAACTTCCAGAGTCATTTGGTGCCATTCATTCAGCTTTACATGTCGTGATTTTTGCAGTATTTGGAATCCCTCAGATCACAATAAGTGGTTTGTCCATAGTGGCACTGCTGACTGCTAAAGATGTCAACTGGAAGATGAAAGTGATTCTCATCAATATCCTAGTCCCAGATATAATTTATTTTCTGTCTGGAATTTTCTTAATTTTGGGCTATCCTGTACGTGTTTATTTAATCGAAAGAAATGATACTGATGCACTTGATGTATCCTGCCTGATAGCATTTGTACTTTACGGTATAGCTTTCCTTGGAAATGCATTTGGAGGAGCACTCTTTTCTGTGTCAGTATACATTTTCACTAAGTATGGAGTAAAAAAGTTAAAGTGGATCGGTATTGTAGGCTACATTGCTGCCACCTGGGTCATTAACATTGTTTATCGTATTATTTCAATGATTATTTTGAATCTAAACAGTATAGGAATAATATCCAGGGATGGTTTCTGCACATTACAATTAAATCCAGCATTTATTTTTAGCTTCATTATTGATGTTCTGCTCGTTGTACTCAATATCACTTTTGTGGCAATATTTAGCACTTGCAGCTTCATTTTTGTCAAAAATAATCAAATTGCAACAAAAAACTCAAATGGACCTAAACCTCTGAAGAAAGCTATGACAAAAGTCATGGTATTTCATGGTGTCAATGAAATTAGTATACTCATTCAAATTGCTATAAGTTCTTCTGTTTTTAGAGAAGATTTCAATGGCAATGTAATGCCAATCATCATTCGATATGCTTTACGAATTTTACAAGGTTTGACATTGCTGCTTGTTCCTATATCAATAGCAATCTTTATGAAGCCAGTTAATGATCGCCTGAAACAAATCTTCAAATTATTGTGTCCGCTATACTCATACTGTGCAGTCTGCAAAAGAGATTAAGAATAAAAAATACTGTCTATAGCCTGAACTACTATTTTAGCAACGACCTAATTTTATGAACAAAAAGTTTAATTTTATTGTTAGTTTTTAGATAATTATTTTATTTTTTTGTTTATGTGAATTGAAAAATGTGTGCTAAGCGCCCACATGCCACAAAGATTACTTACACAGTTTACAGTAATTAATACTATAGAGCCTCAATTTGCAAAAAATTGAGCTATTTTGCCCATAAAAATTAAATCAAGTTCTTTTAAAAAAACACACTAGACTATCTTGCCAAACCTCACTAGTTGTACTATAACATACAATACAATTACATAAACTCAAATTTAGGTTATTTTTGGCAAATACTTTTAAAATATTTACGTGACCATCTATATCTATAATGAAACTCATGTATATACTTGTAAATATGATGCAGCTGATGCTGTAGTGCATGTTAAATAAGAATATATTAATAATCTAAAACCTCTTCATTGTTATACTGCAAGTAGTTTTAAAACATTTTAAAGGCCCTATTATATAACTAAACTATACTGTAAATTAGCATGCTATTAATTTTAGATATACTAAGAGAAAATTTATTTTGTCTACATACTGATCCTTCAATGGTGTAGCTGTATAGCATTGTCTCCTACACAAACAATGGTCTTTATATTCTGCTATCACTTAAGCTCCTGTAGTCTCCAAAAGCTCCATAGGTCTGTGAGCAAGCAATGAGTACAGATATAGAGATTGAAGGATTCGTCCTAGGAAGATACTTTGAACAATGGGAGGAAGAAGGGATAGCAGTGGGACTGGAGGTTGATGAAATAATATTAGAAGAAGAGGAGTCCGAGTATCAAGAAATCAGCATCTTTAAAAGGTAACAAACAGATTCAATAATAAAGAATAGTCTCACAAAGATTTCTATGCATATAGTAAGACATTTGGTAATGTGCTTGTGATTGATGAAGTGATCCAATGCACTGAAAGGGATGAGTTTCCCTATCATGAAATGATGGCACATTTACCTTTATTCTCTCACCCTAACCCAGAAAAGGTATAAACTAATACATTTACATTCAGCAAACACCAATTCTGTGCATGTACGTGTAGGTATTGATAATTGGTGGAGGGGATGGAGGTGCAATAAGAGAAATTGCCAAGCATCCTCTAGTCAAAGAAATCCATCAATGTGAATTAGATAAAGTAAAATACTTAATAAAGATATTTTATCATTACTATACATAGTTTGTGATTGACACTGCAAAGAAGTATCTACCAAAATCAGCAATCGGCTACTCTTCACCAAAACTAACCATACATTTAGAGGATGGCATAAAATTCATCAATCGCTACAGTGAAGAATTTGACGTCATCATTACCGATTGTTCAGACTATGACTTAGGTAGAACTATGACCATCAATTCAATACTGCATTACTTAATTGCATTTGTACACACAGACTCTAGTAGGCCATTTTATGAGCAAGATTACTATAAGAAGGTGAATAAGGCATTGAAACCAAATGGGATCATATGCTCATTAGGTACAGCAATATCAATAAACATAAGAATTTATTTATATATACTCATTACACAGCCGAATGTATGTTCACTGATTTTGAATTCATGAAGACGTTTACAAAAACCATAAGAAGTGTATTCCCGGTGGTTAGGTACGCATATGGTATATATATACCTGGATACATTGGTGGTCAATGTGGCTTCTTAGTAGCCACCAAAGACAAGGTATATCAAGTATTATAGTATTATTAATATTACTATATTTATTTAGACTAAAGTATTAGAAGAGCCGGTACGTCAGTTAACTGATGAAGATATTAAGGATATGAATCTACGTTATTATAACACAGCAACACACAAAGCTTGCTTTGCACTCCCTCAATACGTGAAAGAAGCTATTGAAAAATATTATTTTTAAGTTGTAATAGTCAAAACACTTATTGACATGATGTAATAATTATGACTTAGACTTGAATCATAGGTTTTGTATAACAATTAAGACTATATAATATGTTCCTGAAAATAATTATGGCTACCACCATATGCAGTAAAGAATTCCATTTTTCTATCAAAAAGGGATGAGTGATAATGCATAATGCATGTAATGTCAAGATTAGTGAATACGTGTATTATGTAAGAGTGAGTACAAAAGTATGAGTATATGCGTTCTTCTGGTATTGTCATTATTATTTGAAAATGATATAATTATAACAAAAAGACAGGCAACATGCACGAACAAAATATTATCATATATGTATAAACAGTTGATTTTTTAAAAAAGCAAGGAGCAGCAGTCGATAGTTTACAAAATGACACAAGCACAGCATCTATCATCAACATCTTTGGGATCCACATATCCATGGGCACTAGACCACTGTTGCTCATTAGTATCATCACCACCAACCAGAGGCTCTCTCTCTGATAACTGGTGCCTACTTTGACGGTTTGAAGGGTTTGACACTCGTCCCGAGCGTATCCTTTGATCGGCGAGTCTCTCGGCTAGACTTTTGAGCATGTTTGTGACACCGTGACCGGTTTTAGCCGATACCTGAGGATTATAAAATGTTGGGGCAGTTAGTGTAATGCTGTACTGTAAGAACTGGGTGCAAGAGAAAGTTTTAATTATCTAGAGCTACTATTTAGTTAAGAGACTAAGTGCTATGAATCTCAAACTAAAGTAAACTACATGTAGAAGTAGAACGTTAAAAGTAAGACCATTATAGTTCTTCTGCATTAGCATTTAAATATTTTACATTTCCAGTAATATAAGCACTTGCAGGACACATTTGGCTTTAGGAAGCATTACATGTGTCAGTACAGTGTCACACAAATTTGGAATAATTATAGGAACCTAAAACTACATGCATATAATACATGAACATGTACCTCAAAAACTGGTATGTCATTATGAAAACTGCCAAAATTGTAGAGTGCCTCTGTTGATATTTCTCTCTTTGTATCGTCAATGTCAGACTTTGTTCCGGCAATTATAAAAACAGGTTTTGGATCCTAAAAAATTCACACAAAACAAAAATATAAAATAATAATAATTATACAAAATTAATACAAAACTGAACATACACGTACATGTATTGGTACTACAAAAAAATTATAAAGTCTACCTTGATATAAACTTGTGCCTCATGAATCCAGTGAGTGAGCCTATGAAGTGAATGCTCATTGTCAAGACTACAGATTAGAATGACTGCTTGAATCCTCCTATAGAAGTGAGCGCTCAGGGACTGCCCTCTCACATTTGAGTGGACACTGTCCATTATTGTTAACTACAAAAAAATATTATAAAAATAAAGAATCCTCTTTTAGTCATCAAATACCCTGTACCATAGTACAGGGTATGGGTCTTTGGCCCGATTTTGAAGCAACTTTAAAAATTCTTTAAAAATCCAAACTTAATCAGAATCAGTTTAAACTTGCTACAAAACATAAGTACATGTATATGTATCAGAAAAAGTTATAAAAATGGAGAATTCTCTACTTTTCATTTTTGATGAAATTTGACCAAAATCCCTGTACTACAGTACAGGGACTTTGGCCCAATTTTAAAGCAAATTTAAAAATTCGTAAAAAAAATCCAAACTTGATCAGAATCAGTTTAAACTTGCTACACAACATAAGTACATGTATACGTATCAGGAAAAGTTATAAAAATGGAGAGTTCTCTACTTTTCATTTTTGATGAAATTTGACCAAAATCCCTGTACTATATAGTACAGGGACTTTGGCCCAATTTTGAAGCAACTTTAAAAATTCGTAAAAAAAATCCAAACTTGATCAGAATCAGTTTAAACTTGCTACACAACATAAGTACATGTATATGTATCAGAAAAAGTTATAAAAATGGAGAATTCTCTACTTTTCATTTTTGATGAAATTTGACCAAAATCCCTGTACTATATAGTACAGGGACTTTGGCCCAATCTTGAAGCAACTTTAAAAATTCGTAAAAAATCCAAACTTGATCGCAATCAGTTTAAACTTGCTACACAACATAAGTACATGTATATGTATCAGGAAAAGTTATAAAAATGGAGAATTCTCTACTTTTCATTTTTGATGAAATTTGACCAAAATCCCTGTACTATATAGTACAGGGACTTTGGCCCAATTTTGAAGCAACTTTAAAAATTCGTAAAAAAAATCCAAACTTGATCAGAATCAGTTTAAACTTGCTACACAACATAAGTACATGTATATGTATCAGAAAAAGTTATAAAAATGGAGAATTCTCTACTTTTCATTTTTGATGAAATTTGACCAAAATCCCTGTACTATAGTACAGGGACTTTGACCCAATTTTGAATCAGAGCGAGTTCAAACTTTCAACACAACATAAAAACATGTTATTTTCAGAGCCTAGTTGATAAAACAAATGACATACTTGACTTACCTTTACACACACACAGCATAAATGTAATGCATGTACATGTACATAAATATGCAGCATAAAGCTATTGAAATGTATTCCTATACATTAATAAAACATACTCACATTAACTTGTATTTCGGGAGTTGCAAGTATAGAGCGACTGCAGGAATCATATCCTCTAGTTTGTGTGAGTTGATTCATTGGAAATGTTGGACCATCAGTCATTGTATCAGTACCGCGACTACTGCCCCTGAACTGTCTGTGCTTTATACTACAAAATAATAATAATGTTAATAATAGTAATAATAATAATAATAATAATAATAATAATAATAATAAATATGGATAGTGTTTATTAAAGGCAAGGATATACATCAATATGCAATGTAAAATTTTAAAATATGCTAAAATTTAACATAAGTATTTTCAAGAAGCACAATTTAAAATTATCAAAATGAAACTGAATTCTAATAAAATAACAATAACAAAGTGTAGAGCCCCAAGCAGTCTAAGTATAGTGACAAAATACTGGTTCCATATTGAAACTGATAGCAAATTACCTCATGCAAACACAAACTACAACACAACACTACTCCTTCCCTCTCAACGCACAATACAACTGCTGAAAGAGACTAGCAAGTCAGTTTATAAGTGTTGATCATTTCATATTCTAAACATCCACTAACAGAGCAACTTATGATACACAAGTACTATCATTGATATATCAAAGGCATAGACTGTATTGCGTATTTATACTGACTCTATAAGATAATCCATCAAAATTGTTATGATAAATGATATTCTTTCAATATCGCAATAATAATCTGTCACATTCTTCCTGATAGTAGTCATAGTACTACAATATAGTTACTAGTATAATGGGGTACTCATATAACTATTGTAGTGACTACAATACAATGGATTATGACTAAGGATTAAAATAATATTAAATTTAAGTATAAATAATGCACATCAAATGCCGTAAATCTAGTTTATTTCAAGTGATGGTAATTTTTGTACAGTAATGAGGCATAATAAATTTAGGCATACTGATATTTCTATTAATATCATTTGAATAAAATGGGTAGCACATGAGAATTTCCAACATCTAAATTTTCCGTTCTGTATTTTACAAATAACCCAGTTTACAGCACCACATAAAAATAATGCATTATAAACTATTGCATGTAACCATGTCCATAAAAAATTATAAACACGATGTACATGTATGTATGTAGCCACAACAATGTACTTAATGCATGGTCAAACGTTACTATTACCTTAATATTATGGGGAATAGTGCTTATTAAGGAAATGTGATTGTTTATTCACAATTTAAATTAATTAAGGATTTAATATCAGGAAATTGGCTCCGTATTCATAACAATATAAACATGTACATGTACCATATTTGGGTTTCATAAATTGAGACTCAATCAGATGCAGTTATACGCAAAATGATACCCTATTATAATATTCATCTCTAACTTTAAAAATTTCCAGTACTTATAATTAGAAGCTTGCTTGTTAAAAAAGATACAGGATTATACATGTATAAAACTTAGGCAATTATGATTATTAGAAGTACATGGACTAGTATAATGGCTATTATTTTAAATGGTACAGTATCTATCTGAACATTTAAAAAATATATAATAAAGATGCACACTTTTAAGTACATAGGCTTAATGAATTTCTCTCTAACACGTGGGTAATAAGGAAACCAACTGGACTGTAATATGTTAGTCTTACCGGTAAAACAAGCTGCTTTTTCCAGCCTTTGAATCACCGAGCAATATGACTTTGGCAAGAATCTGCTTCGGCTGATGTGTCTCCATCTTGTACTGACACACCTATCCTAGTTATTATTGGAAGTTAGTTAACTTATATAAGTTAATAAAAGCACCACCCACCTCAATTATAAATTATTATTATTATTATTATTATCATCACTATCATAATTATTTCTATTACAAAGAGCTTTCTACTGAGCTAAAAATTGCTATAAAATTTCACAACTAATACAATAATAATTAATAAATAAAAAGCATAGTCAATGCATGACTTAAAGGGATGAATTTTGAGTTACTGACTATTTTTAATAATATTCTCTATAATAATAATGTGGTCATAAGTTCTTTGGCCTCTGTTATCCTTTTGTGGAGCTGGGCTTCCTCTTAGAACAAGCCTTCATAATGGAGTCTTAATATCCTCTATACATGATAGTAATAGTAGGCACCAAAGTGTCTACTTAGTTATGGCTTACAAATGAATGATTATCACTTCCATACACTTGAATGCTCCACATTCAAAAACAAAGAAAACTCCAACACTACCAAGACTGCAATCATTATAGAGCAATTCATATATACCTTAGTCATAGTCCCCATACAAAATCATGTACTGTAATTGGAGTACAGAGAATAAGGTAGCATATTCCCTACAGTATCATAAATAAAAGAATACTTTTAATGTTTTTAGAAGTACAGAGCAATGTTGGTATTACAGTATTGCCCTGCCGGCTGTGAAGTAGGAGGTACAATATTTGTTTGGCTCCACACAAACACTTGAAAAGCTATTAGACAAATATGCATTACTGAGCTAACCATTAATGTACATAACATACTAACAAGTACCAGCTACTGTATAAATCCATTGCATGTGCTCCTTGAGGTACATGTAACTGTTATCGTAGACTAAGAGAGAGGGAGGGAGAGAGGGAGGGAGGGAGGGAAGACATGTGTATAGTGTAGTACAGGGAAAAAGGAGGGAGAAAGGAGGGATGTGTATACTTAGTGTCTGTTATCGTAAAGTTGTCGGGCTTGCTCTATACATTATACATAAAGTGCATGTACATGTACATGATGTGTTATCGTAGAATTGTAGAGGGAGGGGGAATGATGAATATTCTAAAGAATATATCATGTGACTATTGGGCTGGCTGAATCAACCCTTTCACTCTATAACAACAACTGCGGCTCAATACGCAATCAATACACACAGTATGTCATTAGGATAGTACAGTGTATTAAACACACGCCCACTATTCAGTTGCACCTGTTTGTCGGTGAGAGAGAGCTGACGTGTCCCATCTCTTGTAACGTAAGGGGATATCCCTGGTGCTTTTTGGACGGGAGAAAGTGCGACGCTAAGCAAGATTAATGGTGAGTCAATAACATCCGTTGGTAATAGAATATGTTAAGTATAAAAGAAAAGGGTTTAGTCGTAGTAAAATATAGTACAAATAAGTTAAAGACAAAGTCTAAAAATGGGTTGCAGTGAATCAAAAGCGGTAGGCCAAAAATGATAATATTTTTTTTGAAATTAAGTTTCTAATGATATGATAGAGAGAATGTGATAGCTGTACTAGAACAGACTGTCAATCTGGAACATGGTACACTTGCAATACTGAACATTACTTTTGTGGAGAACACAGGAATAAAAGCTACTGCCCAAAGCATCCGAGCTACGGCAGGAGAACTTAGCAAACCCTTTCTCTTTATACTATGTTTTAATACTTAATTACTTACATGTAACTTAACAGATAATTATCACTAACTATATATTTTATGTATTTAGTTTTATCTCAGATACTTACTTATTTTCTTCATACACATTGTGCTGGATCATTTTATTTCAAATAGAGTACCAATAGCAATGAGGAGTGCGATGGCTGTCATAAAACCAGTCAGTGTCTCTCATCCGGAGTATTGTATTTATGTGGACACAATCACAGACTATGTGAAAACTGCTCCAATATGAGTACATGCCCTGTACATCAAAGAGACCGTAGAAAAACATAATTTATAATAATCATTATTCATTACTATTATGATTATGAATGTACAAATACACATTTATTTTGTTACATACAATAATGTTAATATCATAAAAACATATTGTTGAGAAGGAAGGGGAGGGAGAAAGGAGGGATGTGTATACTTAGTATCTGTTATCGTAAAGTTGTCAGGCTCGCTATATACATTATATATAAAGTGCATGTACATGTACATGTACATGAGTACATGATGTGTTATCGTAGAACTGCTATAACAACAACTGCGGCTCAACACACAATGAATATATAAAATACGTCATTGGCATAGTACAGTGTATTAAACATACCCATTGCACCTGTTTGTCGGTGAGAGTGAGCTGACGTGTCCTATCTCTTGTAACGTAAGGGGATCTCCCTGGGGCTTTTAAAATGGCAGAAAGTGCGACGCTAAGCAAATTAATGGTGAGTCAATAACATCCGTTGGTAATGGAATACGCTACGTATAAAAAAGAAAGGGTTTAGTAATTGTAAAATATTTTTAAAATAAGCTAAAGAAAGCGTCTAGGAATGGGAAACTGTGGCAGTGTAAGATAAATTTGATAAGTTTTTATAATTGACTGCTTCCTAATGATATCATAGTGTGAAAGCTGTTCTAGTACAAAAGATTGTTCATCTGGAAAATGGTACACCTGCAATATTGAGCATTACTTTTGTGAAGATCATCAAAACAAAGACTATTGCCCAAAGCATCCAGGCTATGGCAGAAAAACTTAGCAAATGGCAAAAACCCTTTCTTTTTTATTTTTGCATTTTCATTTTACACAGAACTTTATTACTTGCATAGAACTTCTTGTTAACTATAATTTATGTATTTAGTTTTATCTCAGACACTTACTTATTTCCTTCATATTTGTGCTGGATTGTTTTATAGAGTACCAATAGCAATGAGGAGTGTGATGGCTGTCATAAAACCAGTCAGTGTCTCTCATCCGGAGTATTGTATTTATGTGGACACAATCACAGACTATGTGAAAACTGCTCCAATATGAGTACATGCCCTGTACATCAAAGAGACCGTAGAAAAACATAATCATTATTATTACTATTATGATCATTAATGTACAAATACATGTATAATGTTATATACATAATATTATTAAAAAATAATTATTAAGGAGTGGAGGGAGGGATAAGTATACTTAGTGTCTGCTATCGTAAAGTTGTCAGGCTTACTCCATACATTATACACAAATACATGATGTGTTATCGTAGAACTGCTATAACAACACATACCCACAATTCAGTTGAACCTGTTTGTTGGTGAGAGAGAGCTAGCGTATCTTATCTCTTGTAACGTAAGGGGATTTCCCTGGGGCTTTTAGGACGGCCGAAAGTACGAGGCTAAGCAAGATTATGGTGAGTCAGTAACATCCGTTAGTAACGGAATACGCTAAGTATAAAAGAGAAAGGGTTCAGTGATAGTAAAATATAGTACAAATAAGTTAAAAACAGCGTCTCAAAAATGGTAGGCCAAAAGTGTTATGTTTTATAATGACTGCTTCCTAATGATATTATAGCCAACAGAGTGTGAAAGCTGTACTAAAACAGACTGTTCATACGGAACGTGGTACAACTGTAATGTTGAGCATTACTTTTGTGGAGATCATGATAGCATGAGTGAATGTCCAGTCCATCCGGGCTATGGCAGGAAATCCTAGCGAACCCTTTCTCTTTATACTGTGTTTGAATTTCACACAAAACTTTATTACTTACGTGTAACTTAACAAATAATTATTGTTAGCTATACTTTATTATCTCAAAAACTTACTTATTTCCTTTATATTTGTGCTGGATTGTTTTATAGAGTACCAATAGTAATGAAGAGTGTGATGGCTGTCATAAAACCAGTCAGTGTCTCTCGTCTGGAGTATTGTATTTATGTGGACACAATCACAGACTATGTGAAAACTGCTCCAATATGAGTACATGCCCTGTACATCAAAGAGACCGTAGAAAAACATAATTAATATAATCATTATTATTACTATTATGATCATTAATGTACAAATGTCACATAATAATGTTAATATTAACATAATCATTGAGGAGAGGGAGGGAGAAAGGAGGGATGTGTATACTTAGTATCTGTTATTGTAAAGCTGTCCGGCTTGCTCTATACATTATACATGAAGTACAGTATGTACATGTACATGAGTACATGATGTGTTATTGTAGAACTTCTATAAGCTCAATACACAATCAATACATACAGTATGTCATTAGCATAGTACAATGTATTAAATACACCCATTGCACCTGTTTGTCAGTGAGAGAGAGCTGACGTGTCCTATCTCTTGTAACGTAGGGGGATTTTCCTAGTGAGGTAGAAACTGTCATTAATGGTGAGTCAGTAACATCCGTTGGTAAAAAGTATAAAAGAGAAAGGGTTTAGTAATAGTAAAATACAGTAACAATAAGTTAAAGACAGCATCTCAAAAATGGTAGGCCAAAATGCTAAGTTTTATAATGACTGTTTCCTACTGTAATCATATTATAGCCAACAGAGTGCGAAAGCTGTTACAGGACAGACTGCTCATATGGGACATGGTACACCTGTAACGTTAAGCATTACTTTTGCAATGAGCATGCTATGAACAGGACCCACTGTCCAGTACACCCACGCTATCGCAGAAAGACCTGAACAAAACCCTTTCTCTTCTATTTGAAATTATCATTAACCACATTTTTGTATTTAGTTTATCACAAACAATATACACTAACTTTATATTTTTGCTCCTTTTTTCTTTTTCCTGTAACAAATAGAGTACCAATAGCAATGAGGAGTGTGATGGCTGTCATAAAACCAGTCAGTGTCTCTCATCCGGAGTATTGTATTTATGTGGACACAATCACAGACTATGTGAAAACTGCTCCAATATGAGTACATGCCCTGTACATCAAAGAGACCGTAGAAAAACATAATTTATAATAATCATTATTCATTACTATTATGATTATGAATGTACAAATACATGTATATTTCGTTACATACAATAATGTTAATACTTTAAAGACATATTATTGAGAAGGAGAAGGAGTGTGTGGTAGAGACATAGGAGGAGATAGTAATGAATACTATTGGGTACGCTCACAATAACAAGCAGACTGATAGTATAATACAATACATACACCATTACATTAGTGCAATATCATGTGAGGAAGACACCATACATACACTAACCCACCTCTTTATTGATAATCGGTAGTTCCTTGATGTCAGATTCCACGCAATACAGTCACACTCATGGCCAGCGTACAACAGTTGTTTTTACAGAGCTAATAAGTATAAAAGAGATAATTTTATTAAAAATACATTACAGTGAAGGACAAAGGATTGGCAATGAGCAATAACAAAGTAAGAGCAACAGTATATCAAACTAATAATACTAGTGATAAACTGATAATAATAATAATAATGTATTACTTATATTAATCAGGTCAAGACCTGTGCTGCTGAAGGTTGTCAAGAAACCAATGTCCCTTGTGATTTTTGGTATAAGTGTGAAAATTTGCATTGCCTCTGCTTTGATCATCAAATTGAGGAAAATTGTCCAGTTACTACGTGTAAATCAGAAACACAAGACTATAGCAGAAGAGATTGTCAAGGGAAATCTGAAGATGCTACTTGTTCTAATCAAAGATCTACTGGGAAGTGGTATACTTGTAATGAAGACCATTTCTTTTGCAGCACTCATCAAAAGCCTGATAGCTGTCCTATAGACAATTATCCAAAAAGGACTTAAAATAACCAATACAGAAAAGCATTAGTACTGTAGTGTACTTTGTATAACATAATAAGCTGATATATGAACTGTTTTTGTTATTTACTGTGCTGTAGCTGATATATATGAACTGCTTTTGTTATTTACCCTGCTGTATGCTGTATTACAAGCATGTATTAATTTTAGATTACAATATTATAAAAACAATGATTGCTACCAGTCGATGGAAGGGAGGGAAGATGTGTGGTGGATAGGAATTAGAGATAACAATGAATACCATTGAATACGCTCTTAATGTAGCAATAACAACCAATAGTGTTACAATACATGCATACACGTATAGAAACACATGCATACTAACCTACCAGCTTATCGTGTGAGGTAGATAATCGGAGGGAATCCCAAGGGTAGTTCCCTGACGTCAGATTCATCGCATTCATGGCCAGCGTACAAAATGTTAAGTCATTGCAACACTAACGAGTACAAAAAGACAATTTTATAAAAAAATATACCACCACAACAGGATTTGACAATGAGCCAAAGCAGATCACTACCGGTAGGTCAAACAATAATAATTAGAGATATTAACTGACTCACATTGATCAGGTCATTTGTGCTGTTGAAGGATGCGGAAGGACTGACATCACACGAGACGTTTGGTACAACTGCAATAAATTACACCAATTTTGTAGCATTCATCGTATGATGGAATATTGTCCAATTGACAAGTCAGCAACAAGTAGAATCTGTGAAGCCTGCAATGAAATACTGGACGGCATCAGCTCTACTGCAATTTGTGGTGACTGGAGTACTGGTATATGGTACAACTGTTACTATGAGCATTTCTTCTGCCTTGCTCATCAACAGGAAGAATTCTGTCCAATGCACAGTGCCTATAAAAGAAGGACATAATTGAACTATACATAACAAAGCTGCTAATATATGCTACAACTATGATACATACATGTACATACACATTTTTAAAGCTATACTGTAAATATATTATATAGAAAATGCTATTGCTGCTAAGCTGAATTATACACATGTAGTATGATTGTATTAATAAGACAATGATTGCTACCAGATAGTCGATGGGAAGAATTGGGAGGTGTGTGGTGAGTATAATGAATAATGTTGAGCTGCTCTGATGTCTTAATGCAATAATAACAAACAGACCAATAGTACATTGAATACATAATGCATACAGACACGTATAGAAAGACACGTCTACATACATTAATCAGCTTATCGTGTGAGGTAGATATGAATCCCAGGGTAGTAGTCCCTTGACATCAGATTTCACTGCACACAGACACATTCATGACCAGTACACAGCATTAACAGCAAAAACCAAATGGTATAAAAACGATTGGATAAAAGATACATGTTACAGTAAAAGAGAGAGAGAATCGAAGATGAGCGATCGCAGAGGATACAGCAACTCAAGAACTGATACAAGTTCAGGTTGTACTGCTACATCTGGTACTTGTTCTGGCCCAGTTTCAACTGGAAGATCTCATACCTGCAATAAAGAACATACCTATTGCCACTCTCATCAAAACCAGGCTCACTGTCCTAGCCACCCACAATATAAAAGAAAGACTTAGTAGTACATAAACACTGCTTAGTAAATGCTATAAGGCATAAACTTTTTATTGCTGATTACATTAGTAATGCATATACTGTATTAAATGGTATATGTATAAAGCTGCTATTATTTAGTACTATGCTGCAATTTTTATACTTACTATGCTGCAATACTCCATATGATATATTTTTATAATCATTTTTAATAAAAACAATGTTTACAGTTAGTCGATGGGAGGGAGGATAAGAGGAGGAGGTGTGTGGTGGAGAGAAGGAGGTAACAATCACTCTACAGAGCTCTTAGCTCAATCATAACAGAGCAACCAATACCAATGAATAATGTATACAACAATACAGAGACTGATACTAGTGTATTACATGCTGTATGTACATGAATGTATGCATGTTCTCTCACCTGCTTATCGTGGGAATGAGCTGACGTGTACATAATCCCCAGCTATCACTTGACGTCAGGTTTACTTCGTTAAGTGAAATTCATGGAAAGCGTACAACAGTTGCTAGCTATTATTGACCTGCAAAGTATAAAGATAAGTGAGATAGAGAGAGTAGAATACGGTAGGATTAGTAATACTATTCGTTTGATAATACTGTTTCAATATGGGACCCAGAGAATCTAAGCCGGTAGGCCAAAATAATAATATTATAATATTAGTATTAATAATTGATATTTAGGAAACTTGTCAAGTTAAGACATGCGAAACAAAGTTTTACAGATATGGCATTTGGTACAAATGTGAGAAGAGGCATTACTTTTGCAATCTCCACCAAAAGGAAAAGACCTGCCCAATAGATGCTGATGAGCGTAGACCATGTGAAGTTAAATCATGCAATAAAACTGACTGTGACTCTGGAGTATGGTACAAATGTGAAAACAAACATCATTTGTGTACCTCACACAAAAAGAAAGACAAATGCCCAATAGATGGATGGTATGGACGTAGATTGTGTGTTGCAGCAGACTGTACTAAAACTGATTGCAGTTATGGTATTTGGTACAAATGTGATGAGGAGCACTATTACTGTATCACTCATCAGAAGAAAAAGATATGCCCTATTGATGAAAAGCCTCACACTACATGTGAAGCCTGTGATGATATAAACTGGATCAGTGGTATCTGGTTCAACTGCAATAAAGAGCATCACTACTGCAGTGAACACCATTCTCAGAAACAGAAAAAATGCCCAGTAGACCTAAGATATAAAAGAAAAACATAAAAGACTTTAAACAAAAGATTAGCTACTCAAATTTAAAATTAAAGCTGATTTATAGTTGCTGTACACACACACACACACACACAATACACAAAGATATAATACCTTATACATGTAATTTTTTTCTTTTTAACAATGTGATGGTTGTCATAAAACCAGTCAGTGTCTCTCATCCGGAGTATTGTATTTATGTGGACACAATCACAGACTATGTGAAAACTGCTCCAATATGAGTACATGCCCTGTACATCAAAGAGACTGTAGAAAAAATTATTCATTATCATTACTATTATGGTCATTAATGTACAAATACACACATATTTTGTCACATAAAATAATGTTAAGAAGACATAATGTTGAGAAGGAGAAGGAGGGAGGAGTGTGTGGTAGACATAGGAGGAGAAAGTAATGAATACTATTGGGTACGCTCATAATAACAATCAGACCAATAGTATAATACAATACATACAGCATGACATTAGCATTGTTGGTGTTGTTGTATTACTTATACATTACTTTTTGCTCTAGCTCTCTATATAGCAAGAACAGTAATGACCCCATCAAAATCAGTTGCCTTGTACTGATGCCTGGTGCTTTATAATAAAAGCAATAATTTCAATGACACAATGAGATTCTCCAGTGAACATATTATATCCAGTGACAGTGTAAAGTAAATATCACATGACATCCATCAGCAGTTGATCCTGATACAAACACACACTGCACACTAATTGATTCATTCCCTTCAGTATATAAAAAGAGATGATTTTATATAAAATATATTACAGTGAAGGACAAAGGTTTGGCAATGAGCAATAACAAAGGAACAGTAATGGCAGGTCAAACTAATGATGTTAGTAACAATAAATATTAGATTGATCAGATTGTTTGTGAAGTTGAAGTATGTGACAAAACTAATGTCTTATGTGATATTTGGTACGAATGCAAAATGCTGCATTATCTCTGTAGCGATCATCAAATTAAAGAATATTGTCTAATTACTACATGTGTGCTAGAAAAGTACAGCAGAAGAAATTGTGAAGCAAAATCTGAAGATGCTACTTGTTCCAATCAAAGATCTACTGGACAGTGGCATACTTGTAATAAAGACCATTTCTTTTGTAGCACTCATCAAAAGTTTGGCCGCTATACTCTAGACAATTATCCATGAAAGACTTAAACAGTAGAAAGATCAGTTTAACTGTAGTATTTTTATCTTGGTAACATGAACTACTTTTATTTGTTACTATGCTAAAACATAATAGTTTAGATTATGCATTATAAAAACAATGATTTCTACCAGTCGATGAGAAGAAGGGAGGTGTGTGGTGAATATAATGAATACTATTGAGTATACTCTTAATGCAATAATAACAACCAATAGTATTAGCATAGCATACATACACATACGTATAGGATACGTGTACATACATTAATCAGCTTATCATGTGAGGTATAAATCCCAGGGTAGCCCCTTGACGTCAGATTCCAATAAACACAGACACATTCATGGCCAGTGCACAGCATTAACAGCAAAAACTAAATGGTATAAAAATGATTCGATAGAAGATACACGTTATAATAAAAAAAACAAAAGAGTTGAAGATGAGCTTCTATAAAGGATCTGATGTTGAAACTGATAAAAAGTCTGATCAAACATCTACTGACGGATCAGGTAAATCTGATACAAGTCAGACATCTACTGACGGATCAGGTAAATCTGATACAAGTCAGACATCTACTGACGGATCAGGTAAATCTGATACAAGTCAGACATCTACTGACGGATCAGGTAAATCTGATACAAGTCAGACATCTACTGACGGATCAGGTAAATCTGATACAAGTCAGACATCTACTGACGGATCAGGTAAATCTGATACAAGTCAGACATCTACTGACGGATCAGGTAAATCTGATACAAGTCAGACATCTACTGACGGATCAGGTAAATCTGATACAAGTCAGACATCTACTGACGGATCAGGTAAATCTGATACAAGTCAGACATCTACTGACGGATCAGGTAAATCTGATACAAGTCAGACATCTACTGACGGATCAGGTAAATCTGATACAAGTCAGACATCTACTGACGGATCAGGTAAATCTGATACAAGTCAGACATCTACTGACGGATGAGGTAAATCTGATACAAGTCAGACATCTACTGACGGATCAGGTAAACCTGATACAAATCAGACATCTACTGACAGATCAGATAAATCTGATACCAGAGGCAAATCTGATACAAGACAGACATGTTCTGCTACATCTGGTACTTGTTCTGGCCCAGTATCAACTGGAAAATTTCATACCTGCAATGAAGAGCATACCTATTGCGAATCTCATCAAAACCAGGCTCACTGTCCTAGTCACTCACAATATAAAAGAAAGACTTAGTAGTACATAAACACTGCTTAGTAAATGCTATAAGGTATAAGCTTTTTATTGCTAATTACATTAGTAATGCATATACTGTATTAGATAGTATATGTATAAAGCTGCTATTATTTAGTACTATGCTGCAATTTTTATACTTACTATGCTGCAATACTTCATATGATATATTTTTATAATCATTTTTAATAAAAACAATGTTTACAGTCAGTCGATGGGAGGGAGGATAAGAGGAGGAGGTGTGTGGTGGAGAGAAGGAGGTAACAGTCACTCTACAGAGCTCTTAGCTCAATCATAACAGAGCAATGAATAACGCATACAACAATACAGAGACCAATACTAGTGTATTACATGCTGTATGTACATGTATGTATGCATGTTCTCTAACCTGCTTATCGTGGGAATGAGCTGACGTGTACATAGTCCCCAGCTATCACTTGACGTCAGGTTTACTTTGTTAAGTGAAATTCATGGCAAGCGTACAACAGTTGCTAGCTATTGATCTGCT